TTAACCCTTAATTAATTTTGACTCCAATTTTGACCCGCCACCACCGGAGACCGCCGGTCGCCGCCGTTGACCGGCGTTGACTTTTTTTTTTTTTTTTTTTAGAAATTTTTTTTTTCCTGAAATTTTTTTCCGGCCGGTCAACTGCCGTTGATCGCCGGGTCTCCGGCGTTGATTTTTTTTTTTTTTTTTTATTATAATTTTGTTTTTTCTTAAAAAAAATATTTAGATCAAAATGCAATTAAGTCCTATGTGATGGGCCTTTTTGTCATTTGACCTGTAAAAATAGATAGATCAATCTTATTCCAAACGGAGACACACACGCACACACAAACACATATGAATGCATAAAAATCTAACATAAAGAAAATTCCAGCACTAGAAATAACAGCGAGTTGGAGTTGCAACAGCTAAAAGTGGAGATTTCCTATGAACGGCAGTACCAGGATGTTCAGTCATGTCCAAATCACGGGGCTCCGTACCGTCGGGCAACTCCCAATCGAAATTCCGCACAAGACTCGCCAGCACATGTTCGATGTTCGCCGTCGCGAAACTAATCCCCGGGCAGCCCCTTCTCCCGGCCCCGAACGGAATATAATTGAAGTCCAGCCCCTTGAAATCCATGGAACTATTATTATTATTCAAGAATCTCTCGGGCATAAACTTGTCGGGTTCACACCAGAACTTGGGGTCCCGACCAATAGCCCAGTTATTGATCAGGACCATTGTGCCACGTGGGATATCATACCCCATGACCTTAACATCTTCTCTAGCGGATCGGCCCGCAGTAGCGATCGGAGGATGGAGACGCAAAGTCTCCTTCACGACTGCTTTCAGATATTGCATTTGCTTCAACTCGGTTTCGGTTATCTTTTCCTTGTCTTTCGTGGTTTCTCTTACCTCGTTTTGCAGCTTCCTCAACACTTTAGGGTTTCTTAAAAGTTCCGCCATCGCCCATTCTAGATTCGCCGATGTTGTATCCGTTCCCGCGTCCAGTAAATCCTGCAAATTATAAGTGGTTAATTAGGACCAAGTTGAACCGAATATAATCGACCCCGGCCCGGCCCCCACAACAATTTATGATACACACGGGGGCATAATTAATGCATAATTAATAAATATAAACAATGAAGGATCGGAGCTACTTAATTAATTAAATTAATTACGAGAACAAGAGCTTTGATGGCATCTCTATCAATGGAAAGAAGACCTTGAGCCTGATTCTCCTTGTAAATATGAACCAAAATATCAAAAAAATTATCCCAATTATCACCACCACTTTGCTGTAGATTATTATTATTATTGTTATTGTTATTGTTATCGACGACCATGCGCTCCTGGAATATTCCATCCAAGAAATGGTCGATTTTCGCAGCAGCCTTTTCAAGCCTAGCGTTAAAACCGTTAACATAACTGAGCCACCAAAGCCACGGAATAAACTCGCCGATGGTCACGCAACCAAACAGCTCGCAAACCTCCCCGAGAAGCGTCAGAAACTGATCATCCCCACCTTCCCCCTGGCTCTGGCTACTGTACTTCCTCCCAAAAACTGCTCTGCAGATGACGTCATTTGCCAGCGACCAAAACAGCCGGCTCAGATTCACCGGCTGCGCCGAATTCTTGATTTCTTCCATAAGAAGTGAGGTTTCTTCGTGGCGGATGAAATCGAAAGACTGGACCATTTTGGCGCTCAGGAGCTTGAGCGTGGTGATGCTCCTAAGATTCCGCCAGTGCTCGCCGTAAGGCGCTACGGACATGTCCTTGAGGTTGTAGCATAGTCTCTTGGTGGTTACCGTGTGCGGCCTGTCGGCGAATAGGAGATCGTTTGTTTTCATGATCTCCCGAGCCGCATCCGCCGATTGGACGATAATCACGGGCTTGCTTCCCATCTGGAGAAGCATTATCGGCCCGTACTTCCTGCCGAGCAATTCCAGCGGCCCGTGACCCAGGTCGCTTACTTGGTGAAGGTTCCCCAGGATTGGTAGCTTACGTGGCGACGGTGGCAGTTTCTTCGTGCCCCCCCCGCCTTTCTTGTATACTACCACCCATTTTCTCGTCAAATACAGTACTGTCAACCCTAATAAACTCAATACCAAATAAACCCCACCTAATGCCTGCTCAACCATTCTCTCTCTCTCTCTCTCTCTCCTCTCTCTCTCTCTCTCTCACTCACTCAGTTACTAGTTATGGGTGGTCAAGATGTTTCAAGATGTATTGCATCAGTTAATTTTATACTCCAATCAAAGTTTTGTTGTTCCCGATACATAAAACGGGTAGTGAATTTAGTAAATTGGTTGAACAAATTAATTAGTGAAAATACGGAAAGATTAGCCGAGGCGAGTTGACTCTGTCCTTAAGACGAAATTTCCCCGCAACGGTGCTAACGGATTAAATGGAAATCGTCTCCCAAGATACAACGGCTAAACTTGGAATAGGAGCACTCCAAATCCCAAGTACGACGAACTGTACTTTGTGTAGAACTTTTCGAGAGAATCTGTGAAGGGTAGGCTTAATATGCAGTAGGCTTAATTTTTTTTGATTGAAGTGAGGAATTTTGGGAAAGTTAGGGTCTATTTATAAGGTTCGAAAAGTAGTGTCCTTTGGAGCAAAAAGGTACCTTTTGTTTTGAATGGTTGCACCATTTCGAGTTGAGCCAATTGGGAGTGGTTGCACCATTTCGAGTTGAGCCGAATGGTTTGCATTGGTTCGGCCGCACCAATTCAGACCAATCAGACCAATCGAGATGGGCTTCGAGTAATAAGGGCCCAATGGGTTAAAAACCCATGACCTAATGTTTTTGGCCCGTCCTAATATTTTGATATATATACAGCTCAGTACTTCTCTACTTTTCCAATGTGGGATAACTCAAATCCCACTTTCCTTATATTTTGGACTAGTAATTTTTTCATTCACCACAAAATTGGTTCTAATCCAAAATTCATTTATATACTCAATTAGACCGTTGACATACCATAACAGTTACTCTTAG